AAAGCGGAAAGACTGACGCTTGAGGCATGGTTCTCAGACATTAACCCTTTTAACAGGCATGTGGACCTTCCCACGGCCTACAGAACCCTATGCCATTACGTAAGTAAGGGACAGGACAAGGTCAAACCAAACACTAACTGCGGTCAAACTATGCGAAACTCCGCACGGAGGGCCAAGCGGCGAACGGAGAAAAATCGATCCGCCCATAGCCAACACGTACAGCCACAACTTGAAATTGCTCATCAATAAAGCCCGTTTACGCTTCGACAAAGGACAGGTGGCTCAGCTGTCCGAAACGTCAGCAAACCAACAAATTTATTCCGGTTAGCAAAATATGATATACGATACTAATGATTATTGTACAGCCTAATCGCAAGACTTTTTAATCACATCAGAACTCCGGCTTTTGAACAAGCTTTCAAATAGTAGATGACGCTGGTGCGAGGGATCAACTTCAGATATGAGTTACTCATCCCAATTTCAGTCATTCCTCGAATGTGGTTATGCACTCTCAATTTTTACGTGGACTTTTCAAGTCAAAGTCTACTAGACACCAGTGTTCCTATTATTTGAGGCAAGACCAATATAACATCTACGCATCTGCGCGTCAGAGAACTACGTGTAATGCTTGAAATGTATCAGTTAGTCAATCCTTAGGGGCGTTTGAAGCCCAGATCCAAAAAAGTCATCAGTTCTTTACACCGAACGTTTGGGTGCATTAAGCAGTTAACTTTCGAAAACGTTCACTTGTATTTGTCTTTTGTTATTGGAGCAATGTCTGTGTCCCTTTATTCTTTTTTATGGTTTCCGCATGGCATGTGTACCCCTGAGATAAACGCTTCCAAAACTGCTCATGTAGCTAGACTGAAGCTCCGTAACACAAAAAATGAAGGTGGCAGAAAGGATGACCTGATTGAGAAGTGTTGGTACGGGTGAGAAAAGGGAGCAAGGGATGACCACTTCTGCCTTGCTTTTATGCTATAAGTTAATCAATATCACAACCTCACTGAGGGAACCCTTCCTACGCGAAAACGCCCTCCAGACTTTTGGTTAACATTTAATGAGCTCGGCTACTGGCTGTTTGTCCCTTCACATCCACAAATATAGGTTAACACAAACATAAAAACCGCAGACCAGTATCGATCGTTCAGAATTTACTGTTCTTTCCCTCTCTCTCTCTCTTTGTTGGGTACAGAAATATAGGTCCCCAGTACCATGGATGGCTTCACGCTAAATTCCAGAGAGGATCCTATTCCGGTGTCCTGACTTTTAACTTAATTCTGACACTTAACCTACCCCTAACACTAAGTCAATCATTAATACTAATTCGAATGCACTTAAACCCAGCACTAACCCTAGCCTTAACCCCTCTAGCCTTTGCCCCAGCCTTAACTCGAACATCCATACTAAATCTAGCCCATAATCTTACCTCTCGGGAATTTAGTACAATACCACAGGGTCCATATTCCCATACCCACCCTCTTTTATCCTCTATGGCTTACCCTCAGTGTTACAAAATTACTCTGTTGGTCGGAACCCGGTTTTCATTTACCTGATACTTCATCAAAATGTTATCGTTGTTATCAATCCTAAACTGTTTCACACTGCCCAGGTCCATTCATCAGTAAGCCTAAAATGCTTTTTTCTTCATAGTGGTTATTACGGAGCAAAAACATTGAGCGGTATCGTTCATGCCCACTTACAGTCAGTGACCGATGCCACGAAGTACGAACCAAAATTCTGAACTGTGTTCTTGATTAGGAAGGATTATGTTAGTGGGGTTTAAATATTTATTATCATGCAATTTTATCCAAAAATATGTCAGACCAACCAGGATGCCGGTGGTAGACTACAAGTCTTATCGAACGCCTACAAAAACCCCACTCTGTAAAATAATAAGCACTCACGTAAGTCACTCTGTTAAGGGAAGACAGTTTTCGCCCTTGAGCTCCCTTTTCATATTCAAAAATCGCAACTACGTTTAATTTTAACAACAATCCATAAGACAAATGTAGAGTTAACATCAGCGATATGTGTGAGCCAGTTGCAAACTGCCGCTACTAACACAACGTAGCAATTTAAAGGGACGACCCAAAAGCTGATCCGCTCGAGCCAATTCGAAGAAACCGTCAAATTTTAGGACACACTCACGGTCTCTGACAATCCGGTAGGTTCGAATGGGGTCACCATGTAATTGCCTGTCATCGAGAGCAAACAAATCTAGTTCAGCCAGTCTGACTTGGTAAGGCAGGGGACCAGGATTCTTGATCATCTGCGTAGCCCCCGCCTGCACTCGTTCCAGGTGCAGATAATACTTCTTAAACCACGGACGCCAGGCCTGGACGGCATACTCCAGGTGGGACCGAGCAAACGCTCTGTACGTTTTTCTGAAGACTTTCTCATCGATATGGGCGAATCCCCATCTAATCGCAAACATCGCTTGTTTTGCGCGTTTAGCTGCCTTTAGACACTGTGAAGATAGTTTAAGCGAGGACTTTATTAGATCCTTCTGTTCGTCAGAATTTGAAAGGGGTTACCTGTCGAGGAGGTATTGGAATGAATCATCTTCTTAATGAGTCCATCTAGCACTGCGTTTTTCTGTTGAATTTAACTGTCTTCATAAATTTAAATATATTTTTCGCAAATTATGGGCAAACATATACTTTCCGGTGCTCATTTGGTAGAACCTTACGTCTTCTTATAGTTTATACTCGAAAAGCGTCTTTAAACGTTTAAAATATCCGAATAATTTTCTGATCGATTTGCCACTGTATTCGAGCTCAGCATTTTCATTCTACAGACTGTATGCTTTCCGTGTAACAAGAACACTCTTTTCCAAGCCACTGAGCAGATATCTTATAGCAATCATAAGATTTGGCAATGGATATGGGCTATGTTCTATACTTCACGAAGAGCATAAATAAGTGGCCAGGTACAATGCTATCTGAATGTGCACTGTGTGCTCTCAAAAAAACTCATGATCCTAAACTTTAAAAACCTAAATAAACCTGTTCGTTGAATTCAAAATTTAAAGAACACGTGATTTGCTACCAAAGTATTTCAAAAAAGCATATTTTCTGCGGGATTCGCATAAAATATGTTTGAATTTTCAATGGCAAAGAAAGACAACATAACAATGCATGCTGCACAAGCAGTCATTTTTTAAAACGTATTGTCTTTGCAGACGGTCTTAGACATGTTCATTCGAAAGCCGATGTCCTGCCGTGTCCGAAAAATAATGCAATTAGGCCAACTACTGCTCACTATTACCATCCCATTTAAGTATTATTTCCTGATCGAAAACGCATTTCAAAATTTTGTTTAAAATTTCATGAGCTCGGCCAGTGGTTGTAGATTTTATTTTCGATACGTC